TATTTCTCCCAACATATTTCTCCTTCAAGATATTCTCTATAACTCCATCAGCTGGACTTTTCAAATCTTAAGGCAAAATCTCGCCACCCACAAAAGACGCTACACACGCTGTTTCTCACACACTTCCTAACACTATGGCAAGCCCTCAAATTATAACACACACACACACACACAACAGTCAACAGCTGACGTCACTAACGTAGCTGTAAGCTAATGCGCAACACAGAGGTGTCTCCCCCTCCTCCCCTAGCCCCGACAACAAAACCCCCCGAAGAGATGAGCACCTGCCTGACATAACAGAGGAAGCTGTTTCTTGAAGGGAAATTATGCCATCCACCGCGCCTCTGACCTCCCCAATGATTCTAAACTTTTGACCCGGATAAACACAATCAGAGACAATCCATCTCTAACAGAAACAGTGTAACGTTAGCTTTTGCTTTGGAATGGCTCAGCAGACATGAGTCTCCAGAGACACAAAAGAATATGATTGATTTTGCAGAACATAAAGACATTTAAGCACTTCACAAGATTTCTACAATCCATCTGTTGTTTTTAATTTATTTATTTGTTTGTTGTTTTGGCTGTTTATTTATGCCATCTTCTGTGAGCCTGTCATAAGGTTGTTTGTCTTATACAAAGTTTTTCTGACATCCAGTATTCACTGTTCTGTCAGTCATTGAGCTCAGCAGTAACACAAGTGATGAATGTGTGAAAAAGAAGTTGCACTTCTAGCATGAAGATGCACTCCTCTAACTATGATCCCTGACCCTTGGGTGTCTACCAGACTCACCATGAATTGTGTTCTTTAAAGTTGCATTTGACTCAGGTTAGGTTGATTTGTCATTTGCAAAAATCAACACAAGGTCAACAATGCGATGAAATGCATAGGAAAGGGGTGTAACTGTACACTAAAATCACATTTCGATTCGGTTCAGTTTCAGGGAGGGCTCGGTTAGGTTAATTTTTGGTACAAAAAGGCCAAAATAAAGACTTACAAAATGTTTGTTTTGAAAATCTGCCAAGTAAACTAGTTCAGTCATTACAGACTTCTTAGCTGGAGGCGATTTGGTGGATGAAGAAGACTCAGCTGCTATCTTCCTCAGACCTCAGACTGCAAACAACACAGAGATAAAAAAAAAGGAGTTAATAAGATTATAATTTTAAATTAAAAAAGTTAATTAGATCACAATAATACAATACCTCTTCTTGCATGGTCATCATATGAGATGGTTGAATATTCTGTCTCACTCATCATTGATGTGGCAGGGCTTTAAATCTGGGGTCAGGCTTGTTGACAATGTCAGTTTAAGCTTTTTCATAAAGTGCTGTGAACTTAAAAAATGGCAGGTTGGCTTTCTTGGACTGTGAGGTCTCAGTCTCTGATGGAGGACATTTGCAAACCGAGGTGTACCGCAAACCCACCCACACAGACCAGTATTTGCAGTTTGACTCCCATCATCCTTGGAGCACAAGTCAGGAGTCATCAGGACTCTGTACCACAGAGCAGACAGCATCCCCACTAACCCGGGAGCCAGGCAGAAGGAGAAATCCTACACAAGACAGGCTCTAGAGCAATGTGGATATCCTAACTGGGCCTTCCTGAAAGCAGAGAAGAAACCCAAACAGGACTCCAGTCAGCCATCAGGTGAAAAGGAGGAACCCAGACCCAGACCAGTGGTCATTCCATATGTTAAGGGAGTATCAGAGAAACTGAGACGTTTATTTTCTAAACATAACGTCCCAGTGGCTTTTAAACCCCAAAATACATTACGGCAAAGACTGGTTCATCCCAAAGATCCAGTCCCCCGGCACAAACAGAGTAATATTGTGTATGCTGTTCAGTGTCAGGAGGGCTGTGATCAGTCTTACATCGGGGAAACTAAACAGCCACTGGCCAAAAGGATGGCCCAGCACAGAAGATCAACATCATCAGGCCAGTGTAGTGAACTAGATGACCTCAAATCTACCAGATGGACAGAGACTGTTATTTTCATTGATCTGAATAAGTCTGGGCCATCTGATGACTTTCTTTCTTGAATTAATCAAGCAGAAAAGACAATCCTCTATAATCATTACTGTCTTACAAATGTTTGATAATCAAATTGTGTTAGTTCACTCAATGCTTTACAGGTTGAAAAGAACTACTCATTTTTATTTTACATAAAAAGTAAGTAATGATTTTTATTCCTCATTCAAAGGAGAAATCAGGTTAATAAGCATTTCTTGATTTTCTGTCTGAAATGATCCAAGTCGTAAGTGTGTGAAAGTTGAAGCTTCGGTCAACTAAATGTTTACTGAAGAAGAAATGTCATGTTTAAACTTTTTCAGAAGATTACCAAGAGTTGGCTCCACGAAGTCTGCTTTTTGCAATAATCTCTCTGTCAGTTGTTAAACAAATTTCATTCTCTGACCTCGACTTTTGATAAACACCTTACGTCAAAACCACTCCTCTTTCTGGTCCATCCACGAATCAGAAAGCTCTGAAGTAAACTCGGAAGTAAACTCATTTAAAATGTGACAACTTCCCGGTTCTATCAGTCGAGAGAGAGTTGGAATGGAGAATGGAAAAGTTCTCATGTAGTGCTCAAGGAGTTCTGAAGAGAATTCGAGAATTCAGGATGATCCAGAGACGTTTGGAATTATAATTTCTGTTTGAACGACCCACGCACGACTCTCTAAGGATTTTAGCAGTTCTCAACGGAGACGCTGATATCAGTTGAAAAGGATTCTTACTGAGGTGATCGATCGTCAACAAGGTAACGGTTTCTTCTTCGACTAAAGTGTACCTGGGACAAGCTGAGATACCTGACGGAGCGTGCAATTTCTGGTTAAACAGATTAAATTCCCTCACATATTCCTCTGTAAGATAAATCTCAATTTCCTCTTAAACTCACCTCTCTCTCACAAAACTAGTACAGATATTTTAGAAATATCTGAAGCAAAGTCCTCAAATCACCGCCGAGTGATTTGAAGTTCATTTTCTGTGAAACTGTCTGTTATTATTTTCATATTTTGCCAAATTAATGTAAATGTTTGATGTTAAACTTTGATTCTGAAAATAAATGACTCCATTCATTTGATGGGTCAAAGGTAATAACGTCTCTCGTTACATTTCTGTTAAATTCAATGCACGGCATTTACAGTCAGAAAAATGAAGAACTCGTGAAAAGTATGCATAAATATATACCACATATATTTGTCATACAACAAGTGACACGTACCCACGTGACTCACTACACCAGGATTCTGCGGTCTACACTCATCTCCAGGCCAGCGGTCACTCTTTCATGGATGAAGATGTTCACATCCTGGACAGAGAGGAACGATGGTATGAGAGAAGAGTAAAGGAGGCCATCTTTGTGAAAAGAAATCGTCCATCATTAAACAGGGGTGGAGGCCTCCGGGTTCAACTGTCCCCCTCTTACAATGCTGTGATTGCTAGTATCACTCAGCCCTCTGTGAACAGTAAACAGCCATCAGTGTGCTAATGATCCATTGTTAGGCTGATGGTCCTTCTTGAGCATGTGAGCAGCTGGTTTTGGTTGTCAGCAGCAAACTGGTTGATCCACTCTGAGAAGGTGCTATTTAAGAGACTGAGCTGAATACAGACTGAGGAAGTCTCTTGGATGAGAAACGAAACATTTCTATATTTTTTTGCTTTGTTTTGTTTTTTGTTTATTTTGAATGTCCAGAGGACCAGATTGAACTTTTTTGGATTTTTCTACCTGGATTATTGAGCATGCATCAGGAATTTTGATTATTGTTGTCAATCATTATAATGAAATCATGTGAAATATTATAATGTGTTTAACATATTTCTCTATTCTGTTTTACAGAAAGTGATTTTTCCTTCAGAGACACCTGTTCTAAAAGCTCTTTGAGCTGGAAGCTATTTACTTCAGAGGGGAGTCATAATGTCCCCTAGTTAGTCAAAACATCTTCTGAGAGCTGTTGTTTTACACAAAGTCTCTTTGTGTGACAAAGCAGTTCGTCTTCGACTCCCGAGCCTGAACTCAGTTCATCTTTGGCTCCGAACCGGAAAACAATTCGTCTTGTACCCGATCCTGGTTGTCGTCCCGAGGTCCACTCCTCATTTCTGAGCAGATAAACATGTTGCTCAATTACAATTTGTTAGAAGCAAAGTAGAACTACAGAAGATGAACCATTTTTCTCACTGCAAGACTCACGTTCTCGGCTTAAACTGGCTGAAGGTTGCGATGGAAGGCACCTTCTCATCAGCTGTTACCCTCACAGACTCCTGAAGCTGTCACAGTTACGTTCAGCTACCATGGGCAGTTCCTGGCAAGTCCTCCTCGTGGTGTATCCTGGTCTGATCCACCAGCAGAACCCCAGAAAGATGAGTGATTTGATGCCCTCAAACTGACCCGGTAAGGAGCAGAACCTGGTGACATGATGCAGTTCTTTGTCTGGTTATGCCATTTTAGCTGATGCAACTTGATAAATCATTTCCTGGCTTGCAGTGATGATAAATGACTTTATCTGGTCACATTAAATAACTTATTTTCACCAAATTTCAAAGCAAACTATTTAGTAAATTGGTCAAACCTTGTCTAAATTTGTGCGCATATAAAATCCAAAATAATTCCTTCTCAAAGAGTTAATTTATCCTTGGATAAGAGAACTAAGCCTTGAATGATTAATTATTATTGTTTGTTTATTATTGTTGGTGATTCTTAGTTTGATTATTTTTGTAATAAAATTGCAAAGACAATTTTGGTCTCTTCGTTTGGATGAATATTCATTTGTTGTGCTATGGGACTCCCTGTAATTAACGGATTATACTTTAGTGACTGAGTTCTGATTATGAAAGGGTGAATATATTAAGTTGTTGTTGGTCAGTAAACTGACCAGCTGGTGCTCGCATTAACAAGTGCTAAATAAATAAAACACGTAGTGGAGGGGAGTGGAGAAAGTGTCATCCTTCTTCCATCTCACTTTGTAATTACTACACACTTAACGTGCTTTTGTGTTACCTGCAGATGCTGAGCAGACAGTGCTGATTACGGAAGCGGGTCCAGAAGAACTAAGGCCTAATGTGGACCATCAGGACCCAGAACTTTACGTAAAAGAGGAAGAGGAGGGACTCTGGACCAGTGTGGAGGTAGAGCGTCTCAGTGAGAAGGAGCAGGCTGGTGCCACCGGGTTTTCATTCACTGCAGTTCCTTTGAAGAGTGAGGATGATGAAGAGAAACACAGTTTGTCACAGAATCAACAACACCAAATAGAAGATGGAAATATTCAAACCTGCAGCTCAGTTGACCAGATGAAAGTGATGAAAGTAGAATCTGGTAAAAAAGACTGTAGAGAAGCAGAAACTACCAGGAACCCAGAGCTAAATACTGATGAAGATGATTCCAGCTCCTCGGAGACAGAAGTCAGTGAGGATGACGAAGAGGACAATGACGAGGATGAAGAAGGGGTCGATGACAAGGATCTGAATAATCCTGTCCATCGGCTAAAATACCTATCAGATTCTGCGTTAATGACTGAAAACAGTGACAAAGATGGGAAAGAGAGCAGGGCACCTGAGTCAGATGTTAACTCCGTCAACTCATCATCATTGATTTGCTCTGAGTGTGGTAAACAGTTTAACGTCAAATCTTTTCAGAGACATATGACAAGTCATTCAGAAATAAAGTATTCAAGTTGTATGGTTTGGAACAAATGTTTTAAACTAAAGAAGAATGTAGATTTGCGAAGAAAAGATCAGACAAAACTGAAATTATTTAAGTGTGATGTCTGTGGTAAAAGATTTAGTCAAAGAACTAATCGCAACAAACATATGAGAATACACACAGGAGAGAAACCATTCAGTTGTGACGACTGTGGTAAAAGTTTTAATAGAAAAACAAATTTAAATGCACACCAGAGAATTCACACAGGAGAAAAAACATTTGCTTGTCATATTTGTGGACAAAGATTTAGCCAAAAGTCAAGTTTAAACACACACATGATGATCCACACTGGAGAAAAACCATTCAGTTGTGATGAATGTGAACAAAGATTTAGTCGAAAAACAAGTTTAAACAGACATGTAAGAATCCACGCAGGAGAAAAACCATTTGAGTGTGTTGTTTGTGAACTAAGGTTTAGCCGAAAGACATATCTGAATAATCACTTGAGAATTCACACAGGACAGAAGCTATATGTCTGTGATATTTGTGGACAAAGATTTAGCTATAAGGAAACTTTAAACTCACACATAAAAGTCCACACTGGAGAAAAACCATTTGGTTGTGATTTTTGTGGACAAAGATTTGGCAGAAAAACAAGTTTAAACAGACACATGAGAATCCATGCGGGACAGAAACCATTCGAGTGCGATGTTTGTGAACAAAGTTTTAGTCGAAAGCCACATCTAAACAATCACATGAGAGTCCACACAGGAGAAAAACCATTCCGTTGTGGTGTGTGCGGTCAAAGATTTAGCCAAAAGACAAGTTTAAACACTCACTTGAGAATCCACACTGGACAAAAACCCTTTCATTGTGATGTTTGTGGGCTAAGATTTAGTCAAAAGCCAAATTTAAACAGACACATGAAAATCCACACAAGAGGGAAAACTGGTTAATGATGAAGTTTAATGCAAGGATTTACTCAAAATTCAAACAGCACAGCTACAGTGTTGTTATTAAACCGTATGTGTAATGTGGAAATTAGGTGTCATTGATGACTGGTTTCATTTTTATGTATGTATATATAATTGTTTTCCTGTTCCGATTAGTTCTTCCTTTACACTAGACTAGAAATTTATTTTTCAAGAACACTGCAATCATTAATTATCTAGCAAGAAATTCCTTTTTTTTTTTTTTTCTGATTATGAGTTTAAAGAGTACTGGGCTGTTCCAGTCGGATATAAATTATTGAAAAGATTTCAAATGTCAAACATTTTCAACCAAAAACTGCAATTTTATTTTCTGAAAATGTGGGTTTGACAAAAAAAAAATACAAAGGTCTATTATTGCTTAGTTCAAATTTAATGTTTTATTTTATAAAAACAATTTTTTATATCACAAATAAAAGAAGTCAGACATTTTTTTCTAAGTAACTTTGGTGTAAACGCATTTCTTGATTAAATTATAATTTCCCTTACCATTGATCATTTCCCTGGCTTGGGAAGGCCTTGAAATGTATCACTTTCATGCATTTGTCAAACGTGTTTGTGCAAGCAAAACTGATCATATCAAGGTTTTTTTCATGTAAAATAAAAGTTATAATAATAGTCTTCCTTTGAAAGGTCCTATTGTGGTATTCATGTTATTTCAAAAATCTCTAGTCGTGTTTGAAAATAGTTACTTTTCTAGGAGCGTCATTTGAGCTTTTTTTTTGTTGCCTTTTTTTCCTCTTGAATCTGAGGCTGTTCCTAGTATGTAAAAGGGGGAAAGCACTGTGTGGGTGGAAGTCAGTACCCTTAATTAAGGGTGACGTCACCTGGTGATGCTTATGCCCCTTTTCCACTGTCACGGCGCGGGTCGGATATTTCCGGCTTGACGCGCGTTATTCGACTTGCTTCGCTTAGCTTTGTTTAGCTTAGCATTGTTTCTTGTAAGTCTCCATTCTCCTGTACGCTTTATCAATCAGTCACTCAAACTTTATTTATAGAGCCCTTTCCAGCAGCCAAAAGGTGCACAAGTGCTGCACAATACAGAAGTTAAAAACAAACGATTAAGAATAAAAAAATCAGCCAGTTAAAATTAAAACCAATTAAAACATAGCAAGATTGTCAAAGAACTACTAAGTATTAAAAGTCTGCCTGAATAAAAAGGTTTTAAGATTAGATTTAAAATGCTCCATATCAGTGATGGAGCACAAGTCCTGTGGTAGCTGGTTCCAGAGTCTGGGTGCAACGATAGAAAAGGCCCGGTCACCCCATCGTTTGTAGTTGGACTTTGGGACAGAGAGTAGAAATGTATTGGATGATCTCAGTGTTCTCATATTCACGGACAGCTACAAGATCAGTCAAATATAGTGGGGCAAGACAATTGAGAGCTTTAAAAGTGAATAAAAAAATATATATATAATATAAAAATTTAAATTTAATTTAGCTTTATGGGGCATGGAGAGGTCTTCAAAAAGTTAGCAGACTTAAAGTTTCCGGAATTCAATATAGTGGAAGGTAATTGATCTGCTAACAGTTTACAAAGTTAGCTAAACCACTAATCTGCTAAACAAAAAGGTTATTTTGCTCTTAGCGGATTAGTAGAACTGTGTTCAATTTCTCAGTAAATGAAAATCATCAGAAAACTTAAATTGTTAAGCAATTTTTTTTAAATCTGGAAGAAGATAGGCCATCTGAAAGCCTAGAATCTGATAGCAGTCATGTCTTGATGGACAGTCAAAAGTGCTGCTGCTGGAAATACTGTATGTTGATAATATTTGTGATGACCAGTGTACAAACCGGATTCCAAAAAAGTTGGGACACTAAACAAATTGTGAATAAAAACTGAATGCAACGATGTGGAGGTGCCAACATCTAATATTTTATTCAGAATAGAACACAAATCACAGATCAAAAGTTTAAACTGAGAGAATGTAGCATTTTAAGGGAAAAATCTGTTGTTTCCAAATTTCATGGCGTCAACAAATCCCAAAAAAGTTAGGACAAGTCCATTTTTACTACTGTGTGGCATCCCCCCTTCTTCTTACAACGCTCAACAGACGTCTGGGGACAGAGGAGACCAGTTTCTCAAGTTTAGAAATAGGAATGCTCTCCCATTCATGTCTAATACAGGCCTCTAACTGTTCAATCATTTTGGGCCTTCCTTGTCGCACCTTCCTCTTTATGATGCGCCAAATGTTCTCTATAGGTGAAAGATCTGGACTGCAGGCTGGCCATTTCAGTACCGGATCCTTCTTCTACATAGCCATGATGTTGTGATTGCTGCAGAATGTGGTCTGGCATTATCGTGTTGAAAAATGCAGGGTCTTCCCTGAAAGAGATGATGTCTAGATGGGAGCATATGTTGTTCTAGAACCTGAACATAGTTCCCTGCATTAATGGTGCCTTTCCAGACATGCAAGCTGCCCATGCCACAAGCACTTATGCAACCCCATACCATCAGTGATGCAGGCTTCTGAATGGCGCGTTGATAACAACTTGGGCTATCCTTGTCTTCTCTGGTCCGGATGACATGGCGTCCCAGTGTTCCATAAAGAACTTCAAATCATGACTCATCTGACCACAGAACAGTCTTCCATTTTGCCACACTCCATTTTAGATGACCCCTGGCCCAGTGCAAACGTCTGAGCTTGTGGAGCTTACTTAGAAATGGCGTCCTCTTTGCACTGTAGAGTTTCAGCTGGCAATGGCGGATGGCACAGTGGATTGTGTTCACTGACAATGCTTTCTGGAAGTATTCCTGAGCCCATTCTGTTATTTCCTTGACAGTGGCATTCCTGTTTGAGGTGCAGTGACGTTTAAGGGCCCGGAGATCACGAGCATCCAGTAGAGTTTTACGGCCTTGACCCTTAAACACAGCGATTGTTCCAGATTCTCTGAATCTTTTGATGATGTTATGCACGGTTGATGATGATAACTTAAAAGTATTTGCTATTTTACGCTGGGTAACACCATTCTGGTATTGCTGCACTATCTTTCTGTGCAACAATGGTGGAATTGGTGATCCTCTTACCATCTTGGCTTCTGAGAGACACTGACACTCTGAGAAGCTCTTTTTATACCCATTCATGTTGTCAGTTGACCTAATTAGTGATAATTCGTCTTCCAGCTGTTCGTTATATGCTCAATTTCCTTTTTCCAGCCACTTATTGCTACTTGTCCCACCTTTTTTGGGATTTGTTGACACTGTGAAATTTGGAATCAACATAATTTTCCTTTAAATGTTACATTTACTCAGATTAAACTTTTGATCTGTCATCTATGTTATATTATGAATAAAATATTGACATTTGCCCCCTCCACATCATTGCATTCAGTTTTTATTCACAATTTGTTTAGTGTCCCAACTTTTTTGGAATCCGGTTTGTATATCCCAGGTTGTCCTTATAAGTTAAAATTCCTGAAGAACTATATATATATATATATATATATATATATATATATATATATATATATATATATATATATATATATACACACACACACACACACACAAAGGGTGCAGAAAAAAAATCAGTTATTGAAAGAATCTAGATTTTTTGTCCTGGCGATTCTGAATAGTTTCTAAAGGTCCATAAATCTATTTAAAAATGCATTTAAGTTTTATATTTTTTCCGCTTCTACTCCCCATTCGGCCACCGTAGAATTGAGTCGTGTAGACCACTGTACAGCAAGCTAGTTAATGATGAAAAGACAGGCTGGGTGTGTTCACTGGACATTTTAAACACTGTGTTCACTTTATTCTGCACTCTGTGTGTATTCACTTTTCCATAGTTTTATCTTTATACTTTATTCACATCATATCTATTTTTGTGTGTGTTATAAACTGTTCACGCATATTTTATCACATAGAAGTGAAAAACTTGTTTTCATACAGCACTGAGCAGGAAGGAGGGGCCGAATTGTCTATAGACAGGGAACAAAGAAAAGTTACTTTCGAGACTGGTACCGAAATCCAGTTCAAACTCGTTTTTCCTTGACAGATAAGAAATATGACTGCGTGGTTGCCAAGGTAACCTTAGATTGACTAGATGGTCAGCCAATAGGAGAAGATCTCCCTCCAGGAGCGAGGCAGGTTCATGAAGTGCTTATATTATCCTAAAACAGGAAGTAGCGTCAGACAATTTTGAGCAGAGCCACTTTTTAGTTTAAGTACGCTTCTATTGTCTCCTGAAATGCATTTCAGTATTTTGTTTTTGTAATACTTTAAATGTGGTGTGTATTAAAACTCTCTTAAACTAAGGTGAAGTTTCCTGGTGTACCTGCCTGATCCAAAACAACCCGGAGAAAGGTGTTCGTACCTTTGCAACATGAAATATGTGTTAATGTGGCTGTGGCTGAGTGGTTAGAGCAGTCGTCTTCCAATGTGAGAGTTGGGGGTTCAAATCCACCAGCAGTCACATGCCGAAGTGTCCCTGGGCAAGACACTGAACCTCTCATAGCCTCCGATGTGTGTCCCATCGGTGTTTGAATGTGATAAAGCTCTGATTAGTCTCTTTAGAATGATTTGTTCAATTAGCTTTGTAGATATCTAGTAGAGTGCTGTGTGGATGGGTAAATGAGGACACAGATTGTAGTGTAAAGCGCGTTGAGTATCTTGAAATAAGATAGAAAGTCGCTATATAAGTACAGTCCATTTACCATTTAATAAGCATAGAACAAGAACATCAGTCATAACCTGTGACTGATAACATCTCACACTGTAAATGCATGCAGTCAGATGAGAGTTTAAACGAGATTCCATGAAACAACTATATTCATTCTGTTAAGGCACTAAGGACAGAATGTGTCATGGAACGAGCCGTCACATCATGTAAATAAAAGTGAATAAATGAACAAGATGTTGACCATGCGGCCGCAGTGCAAATATCCTGCATTGACATACCATTATGCAAAGCAGTCGAAGATGCGATACCTCTGGTCGAGTGTGCCCTGAGGTTGTCAGGACGCTC